GAATGATGCGAACATGTTCTGGGTCATTTTCGTCGTAATTTGGTGTGGTGACCCATTCATACGAGGCAAAGAGGCCTCCAGGTTTCAGGGCACGAAATACTTCACCGTAGACTATTTCAAGTTTTGGTGAATGAACCGTAGCTTCGATCGCGTAGGCAGAATCAAATTTTCCGGTAAATTCTTGCGGCATTGCTGTGAAATCACCCTATCCATTATCACAAGTCGCCGGTTATTTTGACAGAAGTTAAGATGCATATAGATAATATATCCAAGGAAATTTACCTTGACAAAATCGGTCTTTTCGCTGACCCCAAGTTTCTTAGAATAGAATTTGCATCTTTCAACTTGGTATCCATTATTATTAATGCCCGTGATATGAGCACCTGACAACCTTACAATCTCGTGAAGCGGACCTCCAACACCGCATCCGACATCCTAATAATGGATAATGATGAAGTTAATGCGAATCGAAGATGCATTTTGCATATTATACTTACGAGAACTTTCTTTTTCTCGTTTAGCCCAAGTTTCAAAGCTAGGAAATGTTCGTGACGTTTGATGGATTGCTCGAATGTGTCTCCTTTAAATGTGCGAGCAAAGTGGAAGGATTCTCCCCAACCTGCACAAATTTGTCAAGTTTCAGCTATCATTTGACATTCCTAATCTTTTCGACACGTCCACTATACTTACCGTATTCATAAAAATCAGTGACAACATCATAGAACGCGTTTGTCATCACTTGTGCGTTTTCGCGTCTTTTTTCGATCGATTCTTCCTTATTCAGTAAATCTTCCTTCCACAAGTCAGCATATGTGTTAACTAAATTTCTATTTAACTCGCTGTCTTTCCGATGAATTTTGGTCAGAAATCCATCAGGCTCATAAATAATTTCCCCATGGAACCGTTTAATGTGTTCGCTTTCAGAATGGTCAATATCCAAAGTAGTCATATTAGAATATTATTATATAGTAGGAGAATGTTTTTTCGCAAGTCTGTGCACACTGCTTCAAGCAGAAAATTGAGCAAGAGACGTGGGCTAGTTCGAAAAAATTTTTTATAATCAAGTAATAAATCTTGAATCTTGTTCCACCAAACGAGGCTGATCTCACTAAAACTAAAAGAAGTTGAATCATTGCAAAACTTCTGAATGATCAATTTTCCTCGAAAATCCTTGTCACAAACGAACCTTACTTGAAAAATCGTGAGATCGATGAGACCCATATGCTCGAAAATTGGGAATGATGATGACCTAATCCTTATTTCCAATAAATATTGATGGTTTTAATAATATAATAATTTATTTTTTTCTGTTTTGAAAGGTGGTTTATCAATGAGTGATAATAGTTTGATATCACATTCATGACATTCATACTATTCTTTTCTGGAAATAGAATTAAATTTTTGTAGATTAATGCAAAATTTGCAACAAAAAATTATTCCTTAAACAGTACAATATTGTGCTTTCCAAATTTTTCATTAATTTATGCTAAATCTATACAAATGCTAACTATTCGGCTTCCCTCTTATACCCAAAATTTTAAGAACGCGAAGAACGATATCTACCTCGGAATGTCTAATTTTTAAAATAAAATGAAACTATACAAATATTTAACTACGACGAATAGTCCCTGTAGGAGACTGTGGTGATGTAGGTTTTGTAGGTGAGAGTGTTTTTGGTGGCAACGTGTTAGGTGGGATCTGAACAGACGTTGACGTTGGCATTGACGGTGTCGGCGTCGACGTTGGTGTTGACGTTGGCGGAGAACCAACATTTGGTTTTTTTGGCGCCAGGCCTAAAATAATATCTATTTTGTTGGGTATTAGAAACCCTTGTCTAATCCAAACGGTCGTTCTTTTTCGCATATAAGGATTGCGAATGACCTTCCGATTTATCTCCAATGTCCTACGATATATGTGTGGAATTCCTATATGCGTGTCAAGCACTCAGAATTATGAGTTTATTGTACGGTGCCAGAAAAGAAAAAATCTTTGGCTATACAAACATACCATAGGACTATAAAAGAGCGAAAAGGAAAGAAGTTGTCAGAGATGGTCGACATTCTTAGATCTGTGAACAATTATAATGTTATTACCTGTGCTTGGAGTTCTACTGCATCAAACACTTTGGAAATTCCTAATAAAAATGCTTTTTTTCCTATAGATACTACTAAGAATTTTGCTACTGTCCTATACCAGCTCATGTTTCTTTCAAGTTAAAAATTAAGAGTCGCGTAATCGCTTTATGGAATTTTGAGTGGCTTAGCGAGTAGAAAATCATGCGATATCTAATAAAGGTTAAACTT